CCCCCCCCCCCAGGATGTTTGTCCAGGTATGCCTCTACTTCTACTGTAAATGCTTGTGGCGCTGCCTGAAATTTGTGGTCAGGAAGCTAACAGGTCGATGTGAATTGCAAAGGATCTGTTACAATACCAAACCTGGAGCTGCCAGAACTATGAAAATAGGTAACTGTAAAATACTTAGTTCTGCATGCCTTCATACATTTCTGCATGTGCTAAAAATAGTATGACTTAAGTCTTATAAAGAAATAAATTGTTAAATTAATCCAATATAATCTTAGCTTGTCTGACACGATGCTTTCAAATACTGTTCTCTTGCAGAGGCATCACTGAAAGGTTCAAAAAGTAAGGTGAGTGAAAGATACCACTGTTCACCTTTTATATTGTGTCCTGTACAATTGTTTTTTTCAGTCTGTTGTTTGTTCACCACAAAAAAATCACTGTAGGGTCTGATGTGATTTTGCATTAATATCATCCTCTACTGAAGAGGGTCTTGTGTCCACAGTAGCAGGTGATATTGAAAAGTCAGGGGGAGAGCCCTGTGCTCCAGAGGCAGGGATGCGGTGGCACTGATGGAATCAAGGGGGAGCAGGTCACAGTGGAGATGATGATGGTGACGTGTTGCAATTTGGGATTTCTTGGCTTGATTCCTTGTCCTATCAGAATTTCTGTAATCTGCAGTCAGTCACTTAAACACTTTATGCATCATTGTTGTGGGGGTTTTTCTTGTCTGGAAAGCAGGGATAAAAGAGCAGTTCTTGGATAGCTGAGATGATGCTGTTCTCTGCTTTCCTTTTAAATACATTTCATGGAGAAGAGCCTCTGTCATCTCTTCCTTTCACTGTAGCAGTGGTTGTAGTAACCTAAATTCTTGTCATAAAGCATTTGTATATATGTTAAATAGTGTCATTCAACCATTCATTTCTTTTTGGGATGAGAATCAGTGATGTTGAAAAACTTACCTCAGCATCAGTAAAAATGATGTCACATAGCTTACAGTTCTGCATGGTGCTTCCAAATACACTCTAGCACAAACAGAAAGACAGAATCTTATTTAAAAGCCTGCATTTAAGCAATTGTATAGGTTTGAGACAAAGCACCAGAAAGTTCAACCTCTTAATTTTTTGGAAGGCGCATGGATTATTTTTTTTTCTTTACAAAGTGCCATGATATGCAAGAGAAAGGAAAAGTATTTTGCCCAGTTACTACAATGTGTTGGGAGAGGGGGTGTAAAATGAAAGGTAGCAATGTCAGTGTAATTAGGCAGATGGTCTGAAGCTGCTTCTTGATTGAAGGCCTCAGTGCAGGTTGTCTTCACTGGCAGCTGCCACAGAAATGCAATAGACTGACTACAGGGGTATGGGGAAGCAACTTGAGTTAGTTTTGAGCTAGTGCTCCGAATCTAGTCAGTAGGGTTGAGTAGACTGGAAAGGGGTGCGTGTGTATACATATTAAATAGGGTCTTCTGGACTCTTAATCTAAAAGTTTTTGGGTATCGAATTTATAATTATTATCTTCCATTGAGTAATGGCTTCCATAAGAATTAATATGTTTTTAAAACCTCTTTTTAGCGGCTGCAAACTTCAGTAAGCGTTCACCCTGATGCTATTGAAAAAACAATAGATGACATCATGGAGCTGAAAAGGATCAATCCAGATATAAATCCACAGTAAGTTCATGGTTTCCTTACAAATAAATGGGAATTATTGATTTCTTCAGTGCCTACGTCCATGGAGAACTGGTTCTCCATATCTATCATGGCACACAATTTGAAGATGAATTCTGTCTCTCAGTATAAAACTACAGCTTAAGCTTTGCTGTCAAAAGGCTGATGGAAAAATGAATGATCTTTTATGGTGACTGTAATAGGCAAGTCCTGAGTCTCTTTATCTATCTGCTTCCTGAATCATGCTGTCTTAGTATATTGTTGATGCATTGATTTATGGGGGCCACTTCTCCAGGGATAAAACACCACCAAAGCAGGTGGTCCTGGCAGTGACAGTGATGGCTTCTTAGCAAGGCTGTATGCAGTCTTTTGAGTTGGGAAGAAATTATCCTGTTGTAACTGATATAAATGGTACACTGGTTTACATTTTAAAACTGCTTTAAATTATCCAAACATAAATTTTAATGATGCAACATAGCTAATATGTTTTAATGCTACAAGATATTGGTTGTAAGACGAGATTGACAACAAACCATTAATTTTATAAGTGTGCATTTCAAGAGTAAGTGATAACACTTTTGTGATTGCCTTACCTTTCAGCCCCTGGCTTAAGATGCAAGATGCTATAGGTCAGGAATTGTTGGGAGAAATGTTGAGGGGTGTGTTATTCAGGTGATCAGTTTGAGGTTCACTCCTCTTCCCAAACTCAAAATTGATGTATGTAATCCAAAATGGGCATCCACACATTGATGGCTACTTTTCTTTAAGTGGTCAGCAACATCAACAGGTAAGGTGGTCCCAAGGTCTTGCTGCAACAACAAAAAACAAAAGCTCAGTTGGAAAAATATAAATATTTTGGTCTTATTGCAATTATGACCCCCAAGCCCCACCTTCCACTGAGAAGGACAGCAATTGGGTAGTTTTAAAATGAGGCTTCACTGATCATAAAGGAAATAGAGCACACTGGGTGTCTAGCTTGAGAGACAACTCTTGTGGACATGACCACTGTCCACCTGGACTGAAAAATGGTGACCCAACCATTAATGATGAGAAGAAAATAAGAGAAACAAAACAAAAGCAAACCTCACCTTCTAGAACTGTGAAGTTTTTCTGGGAGTGGGCCCAGAGCTTTTCCAGGGGTGTCAATTCACAAGACCTTGCCCACATGACCTTCAAAGGGAAGGTGATGAAAAGCAGCTGCTTCAAGTGAACATGAAGCCATGCTGAGAGGCTGCCCATCTGAGGAGAGTGTCACAGCTCTGGCACTCTTATGTTGCACAGGATGCCAATTGCTGAAATTTAGAAAAAAAAAAAAAAATCAGTGACAGCAAAATTAGTGAGGGTGACATGAGAAAAAACTGCAGGATGTAAATGTGCACAGCTCAGAGCCTGGCCCGTGGACATCAGTAACTGCAGTGTTAGCAATCAGGCTGATCCGAGTACTCGCTTCTCAGTGTTGGACCCTTGGGTAACTGGGTGGAATAATTCCAAGAGAAAACAAGGAATTCATTAAAATAGTATTTTGTCTGATAGTGGAGATCACCATCTGATTCTCCTCTTGGCATTGCCTTTGGCCTCTGAAGAAATGCTGTCTTCCAAAAGAGAGAGAGAGAGAGAGAGAGCAGAGGTGCAAATGATTTCTGCTTGTTTGAATCAGTCACCTGAACTTTAAGTTACACTTTGAGTCATCTGGTTCTAATATTTAAAATAAAGGGGGAAAAAAATACAAACAGAACAACAACAACAACCACCAAAAAAAAATCCCCACACCACAAAAAACCCCTGAACTATTTTTTGTTTAATCCAGGTGGTGTTCATATGCTTAGCACAGAAAAAACGCTTAATTGTTTTTGGACTAGAACCCTTGTACTTGGCATTTTAGAAGACCAAGTCTCTCATACCACCCACCCACCCCCATTTGGTGACATATATTTTCAAAACAGTGAGGAATGAATGTGCGCATACATAGAAACACACCCTGCCACTAAATTGCTCCTTATATTAAATTAATCATAGTTCTGCTAAACTTCAAGCATCTGTACTGAAGTTTTATGTGTGAGCCATTTATTTTATGCTTAAGTTTTCTGGAGAAATTTCAGCAGAAGCAGGTCAGCTATTTCTTTAGACAGGATTAAGAAAAATCCACTGGCTTGCCTACTCTTGAATGTAAATAAAACCTGCATCCAGACCGTCTTTTTCAGAAGCTCTGCCCTTCCCTTGCGTAGTAGAAACTTGAAATTCCCTGGGGTAAGGGCAAGAGGACATGTGTCATACTATATGTGTTTCTGCAAATCTGTATGCAGTCATTTTTGTTAATGTAGCATCTTTGCAGAGCTGAACTAGCATCCCAGGGGTGTTTTGCACTGAGCTGTTCTTGAAGGCTGTGGGCTGCCGTGACCTGAAGAGGAGGAGGAGCCCACAGTAATTTCCCTTTATGAATGCCTCTGAGATAATAATTTTTATTTAGTGGTGGGAGCAAGTAGGCTGAATAACCAGGTGGTGACACCTGCAGTCTACGTTAACTGTGGAAGCAGTCCATGAAATACTCCTAGTTTTGGTCTCATCTCCATCTCGTGGAGCACCTGGAGCTGAGTGCCATGGTGGTGCAAGCCCAAGCAGGTTGCTCCTGTGCTCTTAGAACTGCCACTGCCAGCACAAGGGTGGCAGGGAGGAGTGTGGGGCATTGACAGCTCACCCATGTCCTCTGTTTAGCAAGGAGGAGAGCAAAAGCTTTATGCAAAGGAGAGTGGGGAAGCTAATTCTACCCTCCCACCACAAATAACATTGCACAGAATATTTGACTGGCTTTATCTAAAGCCCAACGGTGACTTGCTTTCTATATGTGGTGCAACTTGGAACTTAAAAATATATGTTGTTTTTTTTTTAATATAAAATTGCTCTGCTTTGCCACTGCCTGTGGTGTTCTGCCCTAAACTACTCTGAGGTTATAGAGTAGTTAAAAACATTGTTTGTGCTTTAGTGATGCACTACAGCAATTCACATGCAGTCCTGTCAGGCTTTTCAGCTTTCTTTGAAATGCAGCCTTTCTGTAAAACTGTAGGGTATAGCAAGTGAAGCATGTAAAAAAAAAACAACCAAAAAGCAAACAGCAAAGGAGGAAAAACATTGCATAGGTTATTCTGAAAGGGCTGTAGCCACAAATAATATGAAATTGCAGCCTAATGATGACATCTCTGATTCTGTAGATTAATCTCAAAAGATAAGCAGTGAAAATCCTACTGCTCAGAAAATTTAACAGTATTATGGAATAAACAAAATGTTTCTGTATATCAAACAAGACAAGTAAGGACCCTGTGCAGCTTAACATCAATGCAGCCTGTGTTCCACAGAGGAATGAGGGTACAGACTTAGCTGTATCTTCCAAATTCATACTAGGCATTCAGGTAATTTCAGACTTTATTAAAAATTAAAGGGTCTATTCTCATATATATTTAAATATTCTTATGAGCGTGGCAGTTGTGTACTGCATAACTTATATTTAGTAGTATAAAATCTTAACCTAAAACTGAATAAGCTGTTGTAATTTAAAGCCTTGGAGGCCACCTGTTTGGTGAGCTTTTGGGGGTTATTTTTTGTTTTTTGTTTTTGGGGTTGTTTGGGTTTTTTTCTGCAGTGTTTTTTTTGGTTTGGTTTTTTTAATGATGCATCAGGAAATGTAAAATCTGCATTATAATGAAAAGAGAGCCATTATGGTGTTTCTTAACATGAGACCAAAAAAAAAAGCTTCCTCAAGGCAGATCTTTGAACTATATTATTCGGGTTTTGGCTTCTTTATGCTGGCTTTTGTGGCATGAAAGCAAAGTGAGTTATTTATAGCTTTCTACTGAGTTTTCTCTCCCCCTCAGCCCTTTTTAAGTTCAGGGCATTGTTTGAGAAGCTGACGTTTGAATGAGGGGAAAGATTCAGTGATGTGCTTGTTGCATGCGTTCAACATGGCTGTGTATAGTTATAATGAAATTTCAATGTGAAAATTCACTATTCAAAGCTTTAAAAAAATCCCAAATGTTATCATCTGAGGAAGGCACTAAATAAGACTATGCATTTCACAAGGCCTTGTTTAATGTAATATTGATCTCTTGGAAATTCTCCCATTGCAATTAAAGTGTTAGACTATCAGTTTGTTGATTAGCATTACTCATGTGAATTAAACGGGTGTTTCATGTGCAGTTCTGTGCTGTTTCATGGCAGTGTGTGATTGAGTTGGATTATGTTGCTCCTTCCTCCCCCCTCAGGTTGGGAGTATCTCTCCAGGCATGCCTGCTGCAGATTGTGGGGTACAGAAATCTGATTGCAGAGGTTGAAAAGCTGCGCAGAGAGCCATATGATTCGGAGAATCCACAACATGAAGAAATGCTTCTGAAGGTAGGTGCTTAAGAGATACTTGGAGGGTATCTTTTATTCATGTCAGCTCCAAGCAGCCTGGTTTGTAAACCTCTTTAAAACAGCGAGAGGTATTGTCACCTTCCTCCACTGTGTACATATTTTAAGATAAGGCTATACAGCTTATTACCTTGGTCTGGATGTAACACCTGCCAAGCAAGCAGCAGCTCGCTCCCTGGTCGATGAATGCACATCTCTTGCCTGGACTATATCTTGGCAGTGGGTCCCCAGCTCTTTTTGCAGATAACAGCTCTGTGCCATGAGCTCTGTGTCCTACTTCAGTATACCTTTCTTCAACACGAGAAGGGTATTTTTTTCTCTTAACCAGAATAAACTTTTTTTTTCTTCATTACTTGTATTTTGTCTGTGTATCCCAATGGTAAGCCTCATACCTCATTGTATGGGATGGAAGAGCAGGAGACTATGACTTACACATTTATATTTACTAAATATGTTTTCATATAAAAAAAAAAATAATGAAACCAGTCTTTAGATAATACATGCAGTGTTGAAAACCTTACCAATTGGGCTTAATTTACTTCATGCTTTCAGGAAAACCTTGCACTGGCACAGGGAGTTTTTTCAGGAAGACAATCTTGAAGCCATAAGCAGAGGGAGATCTAGAGACCTCTTATATTAGAAAAGAATTGAGGAGAGAATACAAGGGGGTGAAAAACAGTCTAATAGCAAGTTCTAGTGTTTCTTCTGATCCTGTTTTTGATCCTTTTCTGATCCTGAAGCTAGTGCAATATGCTTCAGAGAAATGGCAAGAGAGTAGTGATTATGAGCTTATCTACAAGCAAAATGCCTTCTTGCAGACTTTTCAGACGTCTTATAAAAGCATACCACCTATTTGGAGGCTTTTTCAATTGTTTTGAACAAAAATATTAAACTTAAACGCTACCTGTGGTTCTTTCCCCATCTGACTTTGGTTGGGACTTTTACAGCACATGATGAAGTCATCATTTTCCACACTCCAGCTTGCAGTCTAGTGTTTTACATAAGTTACTGGAGGGAGTTTCTGGAAATTTTGCCTTAGATACTTGGGTTTCCAGGTACTTCCCAAAATCTCAATAGGCATCTTATATAAGCACTTAGGGATGCAAATAACTATTTCTAAAAAATGTGTCAAATGGTCAAAGAGTTCCTGTAGGAGTCTGGAAAGCTGTCTTTAAGGTTGGATCCTTGTTGGGAGGTGGGAGGTTTGATGCTCTGACGAGGAGTCAAAATCTAGAGTTGTCCCTGAACCACTGCTTTAGCCACCAGGTGGGATGAGGCAGATGGACTCTTCCTGTTCAAGTGCTGTCTCTGTGCAGCCAAAAGTGCAAATTTCTGGGACTAGAATAGGCTTTAACAAAAAGAACACACAGATTTTACCCTGTGAGGAAGCCTGTATATTAGAGGTGGGAGTCCAGGTGCCAGCATACAATGTTAGTCCCTGAAAATACCAGATACTTGACTGCAGGTGTAACGAGGGCCTTTGGCTCCTGAGAATCATTCTTAAATATGTTGGGCGTCTACACTGCCCAGAGAGCAAGAAGCTGGGTCTGAGGATGGGATCATGGGTGAGAAGCACCAAAGAGCTGGCTGTGGTCTCCTTCCCAGCACCCAGCCTCTGAGGGTGAGGTCCTGGTTCTTAGATGCTTCTGAGAATCATGTCAGCAATGATGTGTAGTTATGTCAAGTGCTTTAAAAACATAACTGCATGAGAATAATAGCAGAACGGAAACTGAGTGTTTGTCAGAGGAGGGATTAAACAGCCCAGTTTACACTGTAAAATTTGTGATGTTGAAGAAAGTATCAGTTTCACCATCTGCCTCCAGTGTAACCTGTGTATTAGCACTTGTTTACAGCAGGCATTTTGCTTTTGCGAATTCTCATGTCAAATGGAAATATGTCCAAGGGTTTAATTTGGTTTCCAGCCCACGCTGGGGAAGAATAGTCTGGTTGGTTTTCATTCCTTCTAGGTATTCTGCTAAGTGATCTCTGCAATGGGTAATTCAAGTTCCTAATGTCTATTATTTATTCATGTTTACCAGGAGGGCACTTTATGAATGAGAGAAAGATTAACTTAATGTGATTGAACTAATGAATTATACTGTATTTACTGTCGATGGATGAACAAGAAAAATAGCAAATATAATTTAAACAATGATGCTTTATGCAGTCATTACAAAGTAAAATCATTAAAGTTTTAACCTTCCTAAGGCACATCATTTTAAATGCAGATAGGATCACTAAAATTAATACAATTTCTGGGTTGTTTATTTGGGCAATGTGCATGCAGCTCTTTCCCTTGGGTAGGCTTTGTCTAAGTGTGTTTCTTGAATCCCTACTCACAAACTTATGGTTTATGGAGAACACCTGGCTGCTTAATACACTTTGGAAAGGGTGAGCTTGTGATTTGGCACGTGAGGTGTGTGGAAAGGTATGTATTTGTCAGACATGTCAGTTTAGGCTGCGTTTAGGTGCCTAGCAACATCATCTTTAGGCACTAAGGTCACTGGACCAGTGCAGCTAAGTGGATTTATTCCAGCTGACAATCTGGCTTGTTAAATCATTTTATCCTTTTTTATGTGAGATCAATGAATGATTCACCCCTTAGTTAAATATGAAGGTGGCACACGCTATTCTTGTGCGTTTTTTTTTTTTTATGGTCTTCAATTTGCTTTTCAGCACTGTGGTAGCCAAGTCAGCAGTCTCGATTTATAACCCTTCCAGAGGGTTGCAAAAGATGCCGGAGAAAAGATTGCTGCAGAGCCTCAGAGACCTGAGGGCTGATTGCCTGCTGCTCTGTCAGTGATTTACAACCAAATTCCAGCCCGTTCCTGTCTCTGTGCTTATGGAGGCAGACGTTAGTTTGATGCACAAAGCGTGAACAAAACGAGTCCTTCTGTGAGGCTTTATAGCAGCTGTAGATAAGGTCGGAAGGGCCTTGTAGGGCTGAAATGCAGTATTAAGTCTGCAGTATTTAAGAGTGGTTTGGGATTTCCCCCTCCTCACCCCTGGGAATTTCTTTTGCTCTTATATTTGGGATAGTAATGCCATGACATTACACAAGAAATTAACTTGGTTTAAAAAGAAGAAAAAGCCATACTAATGTGTGGAAGTTTAATTATATTTTACCTGTAATCTTCCTAGTTGTGGAAATGCCTGAAGCCCAATTCACCATTGAAAGCTCGGATTTCGAAGCAGTGGTGTGAAATTGGTTTCCAAGGTGACGATCCTAAAACAGACTTTAGAGGGATGGGTCTCCTGGGCTTATATAACTTGGTGTAAGTATGTTCCTCTGTAGATGGATTTATGTGTGTCTGAAGTCATGAAAAACAGCATTACTTAAAGATTTTTAGCAAGTTTGTGGGAATAACTTATGAAAGTGTTACAGACTTCAAAAATTGAAAGAATTTATTTCCTAGCCCAATTTGGGGGGAGTTTCTCTTCTGGAAGGGCTCTCTTTCCTTTGGGTATTCCTAATTTAACTTGGTAATACCGCTCACTAAGCCCTTTTTTTTTAGTTTCTGTGTGACACAGTAAGTTAACACTTTCTACCCACAAGAAAGAAACTTTAAAGTATGTTTTCACTGATATCTAGCTCTCCTTAAACAAAATGCTCTGGAAGTGAGGTGGGTGGGAGGGTTATGTTACTGCTCGGCTTTCTTGTTTGGGAATTTGGTGCTTAATTCTTAGGCAAAGCACTTGAAATGCAGCTGCTGATGGTAGACTTCTGTAGTTGGACTACTTCAATTTCTGTCGATACCCAAAGTTAAGCAGTGAGTTTACATCGCTATTCTTTTCTGCCTCACACACACCGGGTGTTGTTCTGTGGTCACTTCTTTGGGAACTGATCGATGCCTGTTGTTTCCTCTAGCCCTTTTATCCCCTGCAGGTAGTCACATAATTTAAAACATTTGGTAAAATAATCTCTCCTTATGAGGGGAAAAAAAGAAATATTTTTCTGCTTTTACAAATTGAAGGACATAAATCATCTGTATGTCATTTGCTAGTAAACCTCAGTTAAGGATCAGGGCTCTTGACTCTGGCTTTGAACTTCCATTGGAGATTAATCCCTACCATGTATTTAATTTCTTAATCTCCTGGGATGACTCTTATCTTGCTTAATGAATCTGCCAGATCAAGAAGCCTGAATTGCTTTGTTTTGAGCTCAGCAGCCAACATGCTCTAGTAATAAACAAGTGATTTTCTGTAGGGTGGGTAGAAAGAGGACTCTGATGCACGTTCACTAAGTGCTTGTAGAATTGCATTTGTAATTTGAGGCTGCTTTTCTCATTCATTTTGGGGGTCTGAGTGGTAGCTTAATGAATTTAACATGTTAAATGCTATTCATACTGCATAACTCACGTAGTGCTCTTTAAAAGGGTGTATATGGGCAGCTTAGTATGATTGAAGGTGCTTTTTTTTTGTTGTGTTTCTTTAACAATTCACCTTAAATATATATATCTGCAGGTATTTTGCCGAATGGGACACTGAGATAGCTCAGCAGGTTCTTTCTGATTCTCTTCACCCTAAATACAGGTAATGCTTGAGGTCAGAAAAAATAACTTGAGAGCACAGTGCTGGCTCATGTGTTGGGGAGGGGGCTGGTTTTATTTTTCTTTTTGTTTGGCATATGCTTGGGTACTGCCACATGCTATCTGTTTTCAAGTGCTGATCCTGAAAACTGATATCCAAAAGACAACCTTGTGTATTAAATCTTAGAAATAGTTAAACTTAGTGTTAAATGTTTTCATTTAACTTCTAATTTCAAGTGATTTTGTATTTTTATTTACCTTTCTTTTTGTCTTTTCATAATGAAGGGAAGTCACTAAGAAGGAACTAAGGTATTTTTTTTTCTTTTCTCTTAGTTTTATGAGACCCTACATGTAAATAAAGATCAAACCTTACTGCAGTTTGGCATGTTATAAACTGAAAGTCTTTGTTGCAACACCAAGAGATCCACGTTCCTTTCTGTAAAGTTAACTCAGATGTAGGTGATAGTGCAGGACTGGGTGTATCTGAGCACACTTACATAGAATGAAATCAGTCTTGCTTGATGTAGCTAAAGCCTCGTATTTTAGACCCCTTTAGTACCAGGATTAACCAGCAAATTTTGCATGACTTTTACCTGTAGGAAAAACATTCTAAGCAGTGCCACTGTCATCACAACAACTGTGACTGACTTGATAATCAAAAGTAGCCTAGACCAAGGGTTTGTTACCACAGTTGAAGAGCCCCTTGATTTATAGCCACGTACTCTGGCTGCCTTGACTAATAATGGGTGTGATCTGGCTAGTCCAATGTCCTGACTTGGCAAACTGAGAGACCAGGCAAAAATGCTCTGGTGTGAACTATTTGTGAATAAGGGATTTGTTCCATATTTATTGAAGGGGGGCAGAAATGTAGCCAGTTACATAGTAATCAGTGGCCTCAAAACATCTTATTTTTGCCAGTAGTGTTAGGTATCCATATAGCAGCTCCACATCTGAATCCTGTGAAGCTTTTGATCTCCTCAGTATTTTGTGACTGGGTGACCAATGATAATTCAAAAAGCACTTGGGACGTGGAGGGGTGGAATGAGTGTAAACCAACATATGTTGAGCCTGAGAGTCAGCCCTGAAATTTAGTTTATTTGGGATTTCTTTTATATATTGGCATTTGCTCTCTTCCTACAAGCACCCTTCACAATTTTATTCTTGCCTTTATACATTGTGTTGCCCGTGGATAGTTTTTATTATGTTTGCTGATGAACTGGGGTTGTCATGACGCTTAAGCAGCATTATAGAAAATAGCCAAGGTTTTTATTTAACTGAACGCTTACATGGGAAACCAAACTTATAGTGCCCAGATGCAGAGTAAAGCAGGGAATCCCATTAGTGTTCTTCATTTACATGTTTAATTACCAAGGACCATATTGGAGTGCTGTGTGAGCATGTGCAACTAGTATCCCTTGAAAGCGTTTGGTAGAAGATAGATGCTTCTGGTGGTGCTTGTGGTGCTCCTCCTGGCGTGGTTGCTCAGCAGCCGTGCTGGTTTCTGGTGTGATCATGATCAATGTGGTTTCTGTTTCTGCTGAACTGTAGTGCTTGTCCACATCCTACATGTCACCTTTTACTATTCAATGCTTGCTTGGGTGTTTTTTAACTGCTGTTATGCCACAACCTACAAAAATGGCTAAGATTTTAGAGAATGAGTATATTCTTGTACACCAGGTGATTTTTTTTTTTTTTAAGAGAAGTTTTGTCCTCACACATGCCACCTGATAACACTCAGGTCAGGATGGGTGTGAACCTATTAGCACCTTTAATACTTAAGGGCAACAGTTTTTAAATACCATATTTATGTGAAGTTCAGGGGATTGTCTTCAGTGTAATATATACTTTTTGTAGTTCAAGTGTAGTCCAAGACAGACACTTTCACACAGCTGTCTATAATTTGGGATCTGAACCCTGCAAGCTCTGATTTGGTTTACTAATGCAAAACACCCAGAGACATGTCTAAGTTGTAGCCCACTGGTTAGGGTTGGTTCCTTACCTGCCAATGGTAGCCAATAAGAAATGTGGGCAGTGATTTTTCTGCTAAACTTGCTCCATACAAGTAGGTACAGCTAAAGCCTGGTTTGCAGGGTGTTGGCTGACTGGTTGCGTCAGACAGCTCTTTTCATATTGAACAGAAACTTAATCTAAAAGTAAATAGTTCCCTAAATAACTCTATTTTAAGGGAGAGACCTTCTGTGTCCTTGAAAACCTCTGCATTATTTTGCCAAAGAGTAGAAAATACTGTTCAGTATATTTGGCTGTTGTGTGGCTTCCGGTTTGGCTGGACAGAAAACCCTTCTAGTAGAAGAATATCTTCCATGTTTGCCTGCTCAGGTGAACCATGCCCCCAGTGATAAGCCTCATGTATATCTTCAAGAACAGAGAGGGCTAAAATCATCTTTGATTAATTAAAAGTAGTGTAATATTTTCAACCTTTTGTGTAGCTCCAGGCTTGAGGTGGATAATCTTTGTGGTCAGCATAGAAAATAACTGGTTTTTACTGAGAGCATTGATGTGGGTGATACTTTGCAACGATGAGAGAAGTTTATCAGTGATGCTATAAAGCCAGTTACTCATTTCAAGTCATCTTATATCAATCTGTTCAGTCAGAAGGAGGGTCAAATGTGATCAGCCATCTCAGTGGAGGTAAAATGCCCTGTTCAGTCAATGTTACAAGGTCAAAGAAACTGAAAGAAAATATTTGTCATTTAGCAGTGCATGGCAATAGCTGGATTATTATTTTTTTTTCCCTCCCCTCCAGCCAGTTGAGCAAAGCCGAATGGGAGAAGAAAAAGTTTGATAAGGCAATTGGGTAAGTTAAAAGTCTTTTTAAAGCTGCCACAAACACAGCAGTTAACAATCATGCTGTATGTTCAAGGGGAAAAAGGTGTTTCCTGGTCACTTTCCAAAGGACACTTTGGTGTATATGCTAGTGTGTATTGTCTTAACCACATGTTGATTTTGACCAAAGATTACAGGAAAAAGAGTTTGAAGTAAGAATTTGGAAAAAAAAACTGAAAAATGCTGTAGCAAGGAGAAGCTTTTTCTCTGTGCTATGAATAGTGCAGTGATGAATATCTATTTAATTCTTCTTAACACATAATGTGATCAAGTTTCACGTCTCATTGTCAGAGACAGGTTCTAATCTGCTTTCAGGAAAGTATAATAGGAAAGAAATAGTACTGAGGAGCTTTTATTCCTTAAAGCAGTGGGCTTGGTATAGCTGCTTTATTCATGAGTATGGAACTGGATGTTCCTTATGAGTGTATCTGAAAACCTACAATACAACATTTCAATGTCTGTTTCATTTTTCTGTGAAACTTGCCATTAGGCCTCATGTTGCAGTTAACTTTTGGATTCTTTTTTTCTATTTTCTCCTGAAATATGGAAATATGTCAAAAGTTTAAAAAAAAAAGTAGTGTTTCGGTCGCTTCATAGAGATAATTGAAAAATGCCTTGGATAATCTATAAAAGGCAGCTGTGTTTAAAGGAGGAAAAAAAAAAGAATGTGTAACTAAACAAGTTTGCCTTTATCACTAAATGTCAGTGTGGGACATCATATATTTTCTTGGGAAACAGTCACTCCTGGAAATGTCAAGATCTTTACGCAACAGACTCACAAATTAAGAAGTAACTTCCAATTTTGGAATTCTGTTGTGCCTAAATATGTGTTCCTTATTGATATCTCTTAATATGACAGGGTTTGCTTCAGGAGTCTGATTTTTCTTATTTCTTTTTCCAGCATGCTCAGGTTTAAGTTTTTTGCCTGTTTTCTGGCCTGTGTATCTAGTTCTTTGTTAGAAATAAACTGGTGGTGACTCTGCTAGATTTACTTTTTAGCCTGATGAATGTCTTTATAGGACTTTACAGGACTGATTGTTGCAACCTGATGTTCCTAACCATGGGTAATGAATTCCATTTAGGCAGATGAGTTAAAATGCCAGACGATGGGTCACCCTGAGACACAGCCACAGTGTGGAGTGCTTGCCCCGTGTCAGAGGCAAGGGCAGGAGCACAGGGGGATGCCTGAGCTTATTTTCATTCTGTAGGAATGAATCAATGCTGCTCCACTGAAAATGCTGGCACAGTGATGAAACTCCTGTTTTCACTGTGACCATATGTTTCATAAGGGAAACACGGCCATTAGGGTCTTCAAAGTAGGCAGGAGATAAATGATTTCCTTGTTTTCCACCCCCCACACACCTTGGAAACTCATGAGGGAGAGAATTAACACAGCTCAGTAGCACACAATCTGCAGTGTTGGTGTCATCAGTGTTTCATATAGTGTGCTGGAAGAAGGCAAACTCCAAAAACGTTGCTGCTTCTTTTCCTTACAGCTATTCTTTTGCTATCGTGGGCATTAACATCACAGACCTCGCATACAACTTGCTTGTGAGTGGAGCTCTGAAGACCCATTTCTACAACGTTGCTCCAGAAGCTCCAACACTAACTCACTTTCAGCAGACCTTCTGTAAGTTGGGGCCAGGGGAGGGGAGGGTAGAGAAGGAATACATAATTTGTTCTCCTGCTGTCACTTTTCTACCACCTATACTTAAAAAAAAAATATCTCCTGCTGACCCAGCCCAGAGACTGTTATGCTGGTCTTGTCTCATGCTGGTCTTGCTCTCCCGTCTTTTGGATACTTAGATTCAGTGATTAGTTGTGATGGATGCCTCTACCAAACCAGGGGATAAACCAAACAAGACCAAACAAAAAACCTCCAAGGGCCTGACCAAGTGACCTTCCTATCTTCTTAGACTGGTTTTAAATAATAAGAAGAAACTAAAGGTACTTTAAAGAGCTGCTAGAGGTTCCTTCCCCATAAATCCAACTCCCTTAAGATACTTGCATCTACATTCAAACATTACTCTCCACCCTTCAGTAGAGTTGTCCCCCCTCAAAATAATGCTTTCCCAGCTCTTTCCTCTGTATTAGAGCATCCCTTCTACAGCACAGACCTACTGTGCATCCTTTGACAGTGGGAGCAACATTTCTAATATTTTTTCAATGTATAAGCAAGAAACTGCTAACAGGGAGTCAGGATGCACTGTTTTCCACATGCCCTCACTTTCTGGAATACAGAAAACTTACTTGCACATCTTGCTGTGTTGGGATGAAAGATTGTTTTCTCAATGGTTCATCTACTATGGAAGTTGGGATCAAGAGGCTGGGTCCAGTTTATTGAAGTCCTGCTGCTGGATGTAACATTTTTTCCTGTCCATGATTCCTCTTCGAGCCCAAGGATGGCACAGAACTGAGATGGTAAAGGCCTTAATCAGAGCCTGTATATTAAACCCACTTAGGGTCAAGTTTGTTCCTGAAACAGGGGTATCTTACCAAAGCGAGTGATTCCGTGTATCACCTTGTCATTCATCTTATTAGGATCATATGCATAAATGTAAAACAACATTTCCAGCAAGGTCATGAACACACAAGGTAAAATTGTGCATGAGGAGGAAGTGTTAATACAGAAAGATGTAATAGCAACTGTTAAGTTACCTACCAGTGTGTTCTTTTTTTAGTGGAGAGTAAACAATGCTCCCATGAGGAAATACCCATGAGGCAGAACTTGAATATAAGCAGAAGGCTGGTGGAGCAGCAGCACCTTCCCCTGCTTTTGCACTCATTAGTTTAATGTTTTAGTTCACGTGGCCGTATGTCAAGACACTTAGTGATTTCTTGCATTTTTGGGGAGTTCTGCCAATGGGTAGTATTCATCAAATTTTGTGTTTGCCCAAAATGGGTTTAGTTTTATCCCTGCATAGTGTTGTGAGGTGTCAGACGTCGGTGACCAGGATTCTCTGTGTACATCATAATTGTTAATTTCTTTCTAATTTTGGATGTGACCTTTCCATACCTTGTTTGTCTTTATTACTTCTCCTTATTTTTATGATGTTGTAGGCTACTTGATGCATGAATTCCACAAATTCTGGATTGAAGAGGACCCGCTGGACATAATGGAGTTCAACCGTGTCAGAGAGAAATTTCACAAGCGAATCTTGAAACAGCTCCAGAACCCGGAGATGGCTCTGTGCCCTCATTTTGCTGCATCAGAAAGTTTAATCAATATGTAGTTACTCACTGACTTTCATTTGGAAACACTCTCACTCTTGTGTTAGATCACTGTTTAGACCGTCACCGCATCCTGAATGACCATGGCGATTGTATGCATGTTTTTGATGCAGTATTCATCTATTTATTTATTATTTTTTGTCACGTGTACTAGATCCCCTTATGCTTCTCTTGTTGGGGATTTCTCATTTTAAATGGGTGCTCATATTGCGGCATTATGAAGTGTTACATTCTGAATTGATGTCTGAGTATCAGAGTTTTTCTATTTTTTTAGACTTTCCTCATAAATTCAGCATTGACAGTTGAATTGTATTTCTCTAGCTGTGTTTTTGTATATGTGGAATAAATAGCTGGATCTTGTATTGTGAAAGCTTTTTAACTTCTTGGTATGTTTTAAGATAACTACTGGCATTTCAAGTGAAATATATGTTTGGACCTCGTCTAGAAGATAATGTGTATAATTTAATCTGATGCAGGCAACCGCATTGAAGTCCAATTTTCTCCATGCAGGCATATATGCTTAATGCAGAATTAACGAGGCTTATGAGATACAAGTTTCAGTGAGAAGAGTTTATGCAGAATTACAATCAGACTCTACAGCTGCATGAGTACCAAATGGTCTGGGTGATGCTAGAGCAAACACTCACAACTACTGGATGCTGGCAGGGGCCAAAAATTGTATCATTGGGCTGTTGTCACCAACACTGTCATGCTAAAGCATGGTCGAAATTCCTGCACATTCCTGTGAATACACAGCGGTTAGAATCTTGTGTCGCATGTTGGAAGGCAACATCATTTGGTCACATTGTGCTTGGTGAATTCAGGGAGTAAAAATTTTTTTTTTTTTTTTTTTTTTTTTTGAACTACTGAAAATGGTTGTCGATTCAGTTCCTAAGAACTGGGAGAAATAATTGGTTAGAAGGTTTAGAGCAAAACTTGAGTTTCGCTTTTCTTTGACATTTTTTACAGGAAAATGCCATAAATTGCTCTTCTAAAATTCCAGGTGGGAAATTTTTCCTTTTTTTTTTTTTTTTTTTGAACTACTGAAAATGGTTGTCGATTCAGTTCCTAAGAACTGGGAGAAATAATTGGTTAGAAGGTTTAGAGCAAAACTTGAGTTTCCCAGACTACTTATAAAAAAAATTAAAAAATGGCAAACTGCCTTTTTTTCTAAAGAAATGAGTAAAAGTGTCTGACACTAAGATTGTGTAGTATATTGAACAGCATCTACCATGGCATTTCATACCCATGGTATTTTTTACCTTCTAAGCAATCAATTTTAGTATTATATGTTTGTGTAAATCACTTGCATATGGAGATTAAATTGAGTAGTGTCCAACTACTTGTGAATTATATGAATAAATTATATGTCATTCTAAACTGAAGCACTGTGGGTTTTATTTTTGAGATATGCAGTACTACAGATGAAAACTATTTTTCTTTAATGGGTCAGGTAAAAGGGGACATCCCAGCTTTGTTGTGGTATTTCCCTAGTCTGAAGTGTGGTCTGCACTTCCTCAGATCATGTTCTTTATGCCATTTCTGGTTACAGCTCGGGCCATCATTTAATAAGTAAAAAACAATGCAATGGGAGTGGTTGCCTTTCTTGGGAAACTTCTTTTTGGATTTAAGCCCTCTGCTTTCTTTGATCAAGTGTGAGATGGGGATCAGGATTTCTCTGCAGGGCTGGAAATTTGCACTTGTTGCTGAGTTAATCAGCGAAACTCTATGGGTGTTGTGATGATTAGTCTCTAATGAATTTGGAAATATAGAACTGAAAATATTAACTATTGCATATTTTGCATGAAAATACAAGGAATAAAAACTGTGCATGATTAACTCACTATCATTGATTTCTTGGAAAGTGGTTATTTATAATCGAGGACTTCTCGGCATCACTCTTGAAGCTTCTAAAATAAGTTTCTATCAACAGATTTAATTAAAACCTCTGTCTCTCGCTTTCTTTCCCTGCCCCACTCTGGCTTAAATACCTTTTTGCAATTTCTTAGGCTGCGCTGTTTTATTTTCCATGGAGTTTGTGGGGAAGGGGGACACAAAGGTCCCTGCTATCTTCCTACTGATGTGATCCTCTCAGTTGTTACGCCTTGTCTCAAGGTGTCAACTTCAACTAAAATGGGAAAATGTCACCTGGCTCCTTGTCAGGTCGTGTCACAGGGGTGATTGTTTTCCTGTCTTGCAGGGGGATGGATTTAATGAAGCTAAGTGTGAAATTCCTTCTCCTGTGGAGCTGCTGCGCGCTGGTGCCTACAGATCATATCGTGCTGCCTAGTTGTGCTTCAGCTTTGGACTGGGGCATCTTTGCTCTCAAAAGCCTTGTTTAACCCGGGGTAGAGAATGTCCCTGGTGACTGCCAACCTGTCTGGGTATTGCTGGGGGAGGATGTCTGTTTGTCTGTCTGGACTGCCTTCCTTCTTCCCAAGGAACGGCCTCTTACCGTGATGCAAACCTAACTTTTCTTAAAAAAATTAGAATTTCCACTATCACTGGTATGTCTCCAAACTGAACTGCGAGGAACTGGATACTGCTTCTTCTGGGGAGGAAGAAATGAATGCAGCAACAAAAAATAAGTGTGTAAAAAGTCATTTCAAGAAAGTAGAATCAATATTTATACTCCCTGCAGGGTGCAGGTTTTGGCTTAATGAAGAGCAGAGGAGATCTAGGTTGGATCTTTTGAAAGACTTCCCCCAGCCCCTGGTTGCTGCCCCTCACCTGACGTCTCCTCTCCCGGGGCCTCCCATGGAGCCAGCATGGCCTCCTGCTGCTGGGAACAGCATCTCCAGCCCTGCATGACTGGGGCAGCGAGAGCTGCCTGCCCGGCCTGTAAAGCTCTTTGGCACCTTTCTCTTTTAACGGGTGTTTTTCTCAGGCAAATAATTTATGTTGGCAATGCCATGTAACCCAGGGGTTTTAAAAAGTCGCAGCTGCTAATTTACTTTATAAAATAGAAGATAGTGTCCTGATGTTGTACGGAATATGTCTCACTCTTATTACGTTTTCAACTGCCTGACAATCGATGAAAACATGTTACTGGCAAGTTGTGTGTGATTTAAAATGCAGAAATATTCACCTTGGTCTGCTTAAAGCCAGAAAAAAGGGGCACATGGGCACATGGTGTTGTGCTTCTTTAATTCTGTAGGTGTAGTTATACACGTGGATGTCTGTATGTTACAGATGCAGTCACTGCCCGTACCACAGGGCATCCTTATCCTGCCCTATGTGAATTTCAGTTGTTGCCAGAGCTCCTTCATGAGCGTCGGTGGGCACCGATTTGTGTTCAGTAACCTCGGTGCCCTGCCAGCACCCGTGGAGCTGGGGCTGTAAGCCCCAGCAGGATCTGCCCCTGGGGTGTGGATTCCAGCCAGGAGGAGAGCGAGTGCTGCCCTGGCTTCCCATCACTTTTTGACTTACAGCCTTTTTCTTCCTTTGGGGAAGGAAGAATTGTTTTTGCTGTGGTTCTTACTGGTTCTTTAGGAAGATACTTGTTCAAATGCTGGTGGTATTTCTATGTACTATTTTCAGAAGCAAAGAAAGTCTTTATCTATGCAGTTTGTCTTGGGGAACTGTATCTCCTGGTTGTTTTCTGGAGCAGCACTGAAGCAGGACTGGAAAATTTCCTGTTGTGTAGAGGGTAAAGGGATTAATCCATTGTCCTCATTAATAGAAGAGCAATCAATAAAAGCACCTGTGCCCACTGTGGGGTCTGTGCTGTGTGCCCTGTGGGGCATGGCTGGGTAGTGATGGCCTGGCAGTGCTGGCTGGAGCACTTTGCTGCAAGTGGAGGATTTTCAGCACCTTCCCAGTTGAAATAAGTGCTGTTTGGTGGAGCAGGAGGCATGTGAACAGTGTGATGGTGCCCAGGTTAAAGGACCCAGATCTGCCACTACTGACCCAAAGGATCAGTGGTAGCACAGTGGTATCCTTTGTGTCCACATTGGTATCCTTTTTGCAGTTCCTATCATCATTTCCTTCCCGATCCCACCCTTCATGGGCTGTACTTAGCTTTGAGCATTTAATTTGCTGACCTATCCATTTTTATCACAGTGTCAACTGAGGTTTTCGACTCTTCCCCAGGGGCAACCAGTGTTGCAGGGTTGTCCACTGGTGGGGTCTTGCAGATTGGAGTCGTTCCTGCCTGAGCTCTAAAGAAAACCTCAACTTGCAGCTCTGCTGCTTGGCTGGATCTGCCTGAGGTAGGAATCAGTTACAGCCTGAAACAGTAATCGCTTACAATTCTATAAATGCCAAATTCATGTGTTTGACAAGTACTGTTGGGAAATAGGGGAACTCTGTATATACTGTTGGGAAACATGGGAACTCTGTATATACCTCCCTCTGTCCCCCAGTTGGCTCTTGACAAACTTGACACCATCAACATATGGCCATTTTGTCATCGTAGGAAGACTCCTCTGTGAATGATTCTCATAATCTCTGACTTTTGGAGAATCATTCTACTTTGAATCTTCCTAACCATCCTGCTTTTCACCTCTCACTCCTCACTTGGGATTTGGTCCAACGTGAGCTGGAATTTTTCATTAATGAGCCCTCCAACCTACACTGAGAAAAAAAGTATGGCTCTTCTCTGTACACTTGCATCAGCAGCTAAAAATCACATGAATTATTAAAAGAGATGTTTTGCAGAAAACAATCCTGAAACAGATAAGAAAATGAATTATTCATTGTTTTCCTTCGTTTGAGGCAGTGCAGGTTTTCTATAAGACTTGCCAAAGATTAGACAGGAGCCTTCCTACAAGATCATGTCGGAATAGAACAAGGCTGGCTTTGTGCTTTCCCCTGTGAGCAGCGCACATAGAAATCAGGTCATTACTTATTCTAGTAAGGGAAAGTGTTCTTCTCTGTACGGAACTATAATTAGAAAACGAGATTTAGCTCTAAAAGCTCCAAGCAAGAACTGGGTACAGCACCTTGGATCCAAATGAACCATGGGGAAGGGCAGAGGGTTTGTTGCTTGTGTTGCCGTGTTCCTAGACCTGGGCTCCCCTGCACTGAAGGACTGTGAAAACACGTAGCTAAAGGTGGTCTGTGCCCCAGAGAGCTGACAGCCTCAAACGAGGAAGGGGAGCATGGGCTCAACACCTACCACCACAGCCAGCAGCTCAGAGAAGCAGAGCAGCATGAGAGGAGACAGAGAAATGGACACGAGGAAGCTTCTTGTATGGTTGGAGGCAGTTTTTCCCAATTGCAAGGAAGGCACATGGAGACAACTGTGAAAAACCTAACGACAGACCACAGAGTACTGTGACATACCAGAAATGAGGACAGACATATCCCTGGTGGATATAACACTTCTGGGAATATCCCTGAAAAAAATATAGTCTGAAGCGGAGAGGCGTGTTAAAGGGGGATTCATAGAGATGCTGGTGTGATAAACATGGGGCTGGTAGAGTTGGCACAGAGAGCTCAGCGTGGGCTGTGCCAGGGTCTGAATGGGTTTGAGCATGATAGCACAGCATCGTCCAGGGCCTATCAGGATAAGAACAACTTTGGGGGCAATTTTTACTTCTAGGAATGGATAAGAAAGGCTATGCTTGTCAAAAGAGGTCAGTCAGGCAATATAAAGATGTAGACATAGCCTACATATCAAGCCCTGAAGGGGGGTTAGAGACAAAGGTGTAGATGTTGGTCATGGTCTAGAGACAAGGTGAGAGTGTGCTGGGAAGAGTTTTGCAGCCACATCAGGCTTAAGCTGGGAAGAAGGGTTAGGAAATGGCAAATAACTTGGGACTGTAATTTGGACATCAGGATAAAAGTCTGGAGCAGAGAGAACTCTGTGACTCGGGGCAAGAACTGGGAACAACTTGATCTTTTTCAGTTGACTCAGTCCTAGCTGATGGGAGCGGCATGTGTTCTGCACCTTGGGACACAAACCTCTCAGGCTGATCCAGCCTATGGAACCTGCCCACTCACCCTGGTGAAGCTGCCCCTGTTTGATGTGCCAGCTGGGGGAATGCCAAAGGGCAGGATGCAGAAGGCATGAGGATACAGTTTGCTGCTTCTCTCTACCAGAGATATTTGTGATGCTGATTTGGCTCTGGATGGTCTCACTCCTTTAAGCTGTTGTGTCTGCTTCTTCACTTGCTCCCCATTTTCTATTCACGTAGGGTTGGTTGTTTGAATTTAAGCCAACTGACACACTTTGCCTTGAGTTTCCATGTCTCTGCCCTGACTGGCCCCCCAGCTTCTCTCCCTTTCAGCCTTTGTTGAACAAATTTGGCAAAGAACCATTTTGCAGAGGATGTGGGTGTCACCTCTCCAGAGCTCTGTGGCCAAGAAAGAGCAGAAAAAGATCGATGGAAGCAGAGGTCTAAGCAGGCGCCAGCTGGCCTGGTGGGCCCCCTCCTTCCATCCTTCGCCATTCCAGTTTGCAGGGGGCCACAGTGACATCAGGGGTAGGAGGGTTGCTCTAAGCTTGGCCATCTCAAGGGTGCTGCCTCCAACTGCTTTGCCCCTTTCGTGAGGGCTGTGGGAAAGAACATGTGCATGGGGAGAACAGACCTGCTCAAACTCAGCAACTAATTCAGTGCATGGGGTTGTTCCACCCCTAAAGCACCCTCAAACTCCCACCAGGCTCTCTCCAGGGAGAATCAACTTCTTCTGTCTCACACAAGAGATTTTTTTTTTATTTTTTGTTTATGCCTGAGACAAGGCTCAGTAAGTGTAAGTCATGCCTGTCTGCTGTGAAGTTGTGAAAATTTAGACCAGCTCCGAATCTGTCTAGAAGAGATGAATCCAGCAACAGCAAAGAATAGAGGACCCTGAGCCCCAGCAAGGAGTTATAATCCCAGCATGGTGCTCACCTTCATTTGTTGG